AAAACACTATGATGGAAATAATGGCAAATAAGGCAATAAAAAGCAATGGGTCATTATTATACAATTCCTCTAGAAGAAAGAATGTAATAATTTGCTTGCTAAGATAAATGGATGTTGCAGATGCATTTATTTCATACCACTACCCAACTGCTCTACCCTTACACTCAGCATTTGAGACTTTACAAAACATTTTTTTGTACCTGAACCATGATTATAGACTGCAATGACAAGACACTGACCTTAAGTTCTCTTTTACTCCATGCAACAGATTATTCTGCTCTGTTCTCAAGATATATTACCAAGATGAAATGGCCTAAATCACTTGTATAATTAAACCCAACAATTACTTTGTAATGAAAAAGCTGAGTAATTTTATTTTAAATAGTAAATAGACTTAAAATGACCTTTGGGATTGGAAGATCTCAAAATGATGAAAGTAATTGGAAGTCACAGCCTATATAGTTTCCTATGGTCCTTTAGGATTATATAAAAGTAACATTGAAGTAATGGTAATAAGGAAAGTAAACAATTATACAGAAAAAAAGAACTATCAGAAGTGCTCAAAAATCATCCTGCATTGAAAATGCATTAATTTACTATCCTGGAAAGCAGACTATGAGAATTTTTAAGATATGAATTTTCTATTTCTAATATTCCATGATTCTAAAATACACCTCACCTAAAGTTTGAGAGGCAAAGAGAAGAAACCAAAATCCAATAAATGGTTATAATGGTTATCATAATAAAGAATAATTTTGACTAACACTAGAGGAAAAAATATATCATGACAGCAAAAGGAGAAGAAAATATCCTAAACATGACAATTTTAATTTAGAAGGAACACTCCATTAATGAAATTAGATTTACTGACATAAACTGAGTATGATGCTTCACTTTTGGTTATTTAATGATAAAAGAAAGATTCTGACAGTGACTGATGAGAGAAATAGGGAAACGACCTTTGGGAGAAGCTACAACAGTTCCAGACAAGATGGAACTCAATAGAATCCCTATTGAGACTGCAAAGCGGGCCATCACCTTGACAAAAACAAGCTTATTTACACTGTTATACACAAAAGAACACAGGGGCAATAATACTATCATCTACTTTGGAGCCTAAAGCCCCAGAGAGTGATGAACATTATAATGGAAGGTCATGTTATAAAACATTGAGCCAAGATGTTTTACCTTCATTATTTTTATTTTTAACCAATTTCCAAACTGATGCTATTACAGATACAGACAAGGAAACTGGAGCCTGAGGCTTCCATTAAGTAGTGTGCTCAGGAACATGAAAAGCTAGAACGTGTCAAACATGTAAACTGATCCTCTGCTGTATGACTTCAGATATGATGATACACTGAATTAATCCAAAACTGTTATCTCAAGAGGAAGCTGAGGCCCACAGAATTAAAGTCAACTTACTTTGTGACTTGGTATTTTAATATTTCATATATTCTCATTCCTTACTAATTACAAGGACTTCAGTGGAAGTTTAATATTTACTTATAAAATAATATTTAGCTGGGCTGGGGATTTAGCTCAGTGGTTCCACCGCCTGCCTCGCAAGCACAAGGTCCAGAGTTCGATCCCCGGTACCAAACAAAACAAAACAAAATAATATTTAGCTACCTGACTTATGTTATGTCTGTTTGTAGTTCACCTAATTCTGGAAGGGAAGATCCTCAATTATTTTTATTACACATTTTAGATTTATGGAATTAAAGAGAACAGTAAGATTATACTTTTAAATATTCTTGTAATGTTACTTCTGAGCTACCACAATAAAAGTAACTTAACAGTCTTTAAATAAAGTATGGAAAATTTAAGTTGCGAAGTACATTAATCGAACTTCATTTCTATTTATACAAATAGGAAAATTATGCTCTGTTGGTCAAGATAAGTGAACTGGAATGTAGCACATAGTCATGTAAATTCATAAAATTTTCGTAGGGAAAATGCAAAGGACTGAAGTGTTTTTAAAAAGCAAATTCAGCAAATTTAGTTATGATGCTAATAATAACATTCAAATATAATCATATATTTTCATATATATTCCTTTATCTTTAATCATCAAAGCAAAGAAAATAGAACGAGGGAAAAAAATACATATATATGAGCATGATTGCTTAAGGATAGTGGGCCTAAAGGGGTAAATGAGGGAGACATGAGAAAAATGAATACTTTCAGGCTAAATCTAGCCAGACATTACAATCCATCACTGATCCCCAAAGGGCACTAATAATATGTAAATGTGTGAATTAGAAAACACATTCCAGGCTGTTGATAAGCTTGATAGGATAATCAGCACATGCTGACAGACTAATGAAACTGATGAACTGACAGGACACCTTATCTCCTAAGCCATTTTTTTCTTGTCAAATGGAGGCTAATCAAAATGTATTAGGAGTTAAAGCAAACACTTCAGGGGATTTAACCCATTAGATTAGAAGGTGAACTCACTCTCTCAGAAAATTATAGTTTCTTCAGCAACAGAAACTATAAAACCCAATCACAGCTGACAAATCTTCACATAAAATTAAATAGAAGGCAACCACCATAATTATAGGTGAAATCTGGAATTTTAAATTATATTAGGATGGGCCGGGGATTTAGCCCAGTGGTTCCATCGCCTGCCTCACAAGTGCAAGGACCTGAGTTCAATCCCCGGTACCAAAAGAACAAAAACAAATAAATTATATTAGGACCCTTCCGTAGGAAATTATTACAGTGCTTTTCAGTATGGGCAAAGCTACTATCTCCTTCTATAATGGAAAATAAGATAAAAGAATAAGCAATAACCCCCAGGGACACACTTATCCTTTGCTGCCTGTGTATGCTTAGCATTTGTGTAACCATGGGAGAGACAGATCCCAAGGTGCCAGCTGAACTTTCAATCTAATTTATTTACATAAAATAACTGAATGAATGAATTCTCTGAAATCACTAACTATAGTGTACACCACCACTTCCAATTAACAATAAAGATACCACATACAGTCTGTTGCCAAGGACCTCCACTCCTAATATAGAGAAATGTTTTATTTGATAATTGAGGAAAAAGGGAAGAGGGCCTTCCCAGGCACTAGTGTTAGGAATAACATCATAAAATGTAACCACTGTGGGCCGGGGATTTAGCTCAGTAGTTTCGCCACCTGCTGCACAAGCGCAAGGACCTGAGTTCGATCCCCGGTACCAAAAACAAAAAAAAACAAACAACAACAACAAAATGTAACCACTGTGCCTTCCTAGGCAAAGGTAGAGAAAGCAGTCACTTTAGTATTTACTTTGATGTGAAATATATCCAGTATTAAAATAGAAAGGTTAGTTCAATTGATAGATCTACCATTATAGGAATATGCTTTATACATATGTATATTTTATTCCTTTAGACAGCTGGATGGAAAAATGCTAGATAGGAAAAAGTACTGTTTTAATTCATGAAGGTTTGAGGGCAAAACTACATGTAATAAGGTTAGACTTTACCTTATAGAACTATATCAAAGATGAAAGTAAACTAAGAAAAATTCCAATTTCCTCTTTAATGTGCACATTAAATCACATTCTTGCTAAACAGGCAAACTGGAGATGGGATGCCCAGAAAGCTCAAATGGATTTCCAAATTGTAATTGCTTTTTTTCCCCCTCACTTAAAAAAGAAAAAAGAAAAAATTGTGCCCCATTCTATCTCTGAACCATTTCTAAATTTTTGGTCATTTAGGAAAAAAAATAGTAAGTGTTCTCATAGGTGTATGTTTTCTAGTTTGGGAGGTATTAGGACTTTTTGAATGTGCAAAAGCCATGCAGATACTATGATATTTCTCAAATCATAGGATTTAGAAGCATTAATATAATCCTGGAGACCATCACATAGTCTAATCTCATTTACTTTATATGCATAAAGAAGAACTAGAAACATCAAAGAAAAACACAACTAGGTTTAATAAAAAGGGAATTTCTGAGTTTGCAATTTTCATTCTGAAAAACAGCATATTTGGTTGGAGTCCAAAAGTAACCCCTTCTTTCCGTTATCTGGAAACAATCATGCTAACTCATCAACAAGCATCTTCTATTTAGAGGTGCTTTTACAAAAGCCATGTGCTCATTAGGTCGTTTTCAGTTGTGGCCTGCCACCATCAAACAGCTGCAGTAACAATTTCCTACAAGGTAGTGAGTGATCATTACCAGAGGACAGGTATTTTGTTAGAATTTTGAGTTCTTGACCTCTTATACTTAGAAAACTCCATGCCCTAGATTTACATATTTTCTGACTGATAAGAGAACTCAGCTAATTATTCAACACAGAAAAAATGGGTAATTGTAGCACATTTATTATCTTTAGTCTTGTTTTATATTAAAATGTTACTCTGAAAACATCTACTGAGATTCAGGGCCTAATCATAAAAAATAAAACAAACTGACTCAGTTATTATCATCTTTTATATGAATGGAAGTTCATGAACCTCTACATCATTGCAGGTTTACATTTCAAAATCTTCTTAAGAAAATAACACAATCAAAGATTACATGAATTTGGGCTGGGGATTTAGCTCAGTGGTTTCGCCGCCTGCTGCACAAGCATAAGGACCCAAGTTCGATCTCCGGTACCAAAAAAAAAAAAAAAGATTACACGAATTGGATAAATTCATTGTAATGAATATTCATCCTTAAAGATAACTGAAAAATTACACACATATATAAGACAATATTTCTTTCATTCTCTGGAGTCTAGCTAATACTTAGGACCCAAATGGTTTTGAGAGCTCTGGGTACAATTGTGAGACCTCGCCAATGTGTAGGGAACAATCACTATTAATGAATTTATTTGTTCATGGCAAAACAAATGTGCTGGGAAGAATATGAAAGTGATACTCTATTGTGGACAGGTTTCTTTGTAAGTAGCAACGACGGGACTCATTACAATTACATTTAACACAAGCACAGGTTCTAATTTATCCACAGGGCCTGAAATATCAATGAAAATAGTAATGTTTTACTTACCCATCATGTTGTACAAACTCTGTGGGGCAAACTGTCGGGGCATTTTCTGAATTGCTTCCTTGTACACAGTCAGGGCTTCCTAATTTCAGAAACAAAAACAAAATAAAAAGATAAATCATCATTAATGTACAGAAATATTCACAGAAAATAAGATAATAACATTCCTCCAAGTTCAAACTATCCATTGCTGTTTCTAAATGGTTCACGAGAGGAAAATAATTGAGCTGTCCCTTGATATTATGCTACTTTCAGCTCAAAAATGAAAATGTTTAACCCAGTGAAGAATTCCATATACAAATATAGTTTAACAAGAAGTCAAGTGTTAGCAAAGGTCTTTTAATATAAATTTTCTAGTTTCACATGGGTCAGCCGAGAAAAAAAACTAAAAAAAGTCTTACTTGAAAGTTACTCACTAGTCATCTAAATTCCATAGACATGTTAATTCAAGCAAACCACTTGAATCTAAATAAAAGTTCCCGCTACTGAAACTAATATAGTTAAATGCAATTATTTTATCTGCATCCTATATTGCAGTGTTAATACATTGCATAAGAGTATGTTTGGATAGAAAGAGGAAAATTTGAAGGAAAGAGAGGGGCAATACATAGAGTGATCAAAATATATGACTGATATGTAAATTTTTTTTTAAATGTATTACAGGGGCCGGGGATTTAGCTCAGTGGTTCTGTCGCCTGCCTCACAAGTGCAAGGTCCTGAGTTCAATCCCCAGTGCCAGAAAGAAAAAACAAAAGTATTACAATAAAAGATATGTTGCCATTAACTCCGGTAAAACATCCTCCCTCTTGCTTTGAACCCATTTATCTCATCATTCTTGCCACTTTCTGAAGTAGTCCTGGGAGTTGTCTGTCTTTCTTTCCCAGGTGTGATAACAAAATACAGTGCTACTGCTGCTGTGTGCCATCCAACAAAGGCAGGCTCATAAAAATATTATGGCATGTCCTCATTTACTTTGTTTGATGGATATGGCATCATGCAACTTCTAGCTCTTCCCTGAAGTCAAAAGGACCACAAGAGGTAAGAGTTTTGAATCGATTCAGGTCCCGGAGGCAGCCACAACAGTGTAACTAACAACACTCACAAAAGAAGACTTCCAGAACTGACTCAGAAAGTGACAGGAATGATGAGATAAGTGTGTGCTCAGTAAGAGGGGTTTAATGGCAATCTGTCTGTTACTATGATATATATTTTTAAAGTATAACATTCACTGTATTTCTCAATCACACCTCAGAAGGATCACATGCAGGGATGCATCCTGCAAGCGAGGGAGAATGCAGGTCACTTCCTAATAGGCTTAACATTCTATTATCTCATCCCTGATTAAAAATAATATTCTTATTACCTAATAGTTTTTTAAACATCTAAGGGAGGAGGGGAAGGGGAAAGGAAAGAAGGGAAAGGAAAAATTATGAGAAAAGAAAAAAAAATGGAAAAGAAATCTATGTAAATAGGGAAGGGTGGAGGGGGTGAAGGGCACACAGGTAATGGGAAAAAAAATAAGAACCAAGATTCATCATGTACAGGTACAAGCACCCAATGATAAATGTAAATGCATTGTATACCTAAAATGTACCAATAAAAGAATTGAAAAAAAAAAGATCTAAGGGAAATAGAATTTATATCTGATCATTTTCTCAATATTCAAAATACTAACAATTTACATTTTAAAAATATCAAATACTGGGTATAGGGAAACAGTTCTAGAAATTGTCTTGGATGATGGAATCACTAATGAGCAAGTAAACTTGAAAAACACTGCGCGTGACTTGCTTTTTTGCAGTCGCAACACATGTTGACACACTGTATTATAACTCCTTTGAGAAACTCACAAGGAAGAAATATGTTGACTTGTTATTTGCAGGTCTTTTCTGCAAACAAATTTCATCATAAAAATGTTTTTGATATGAAGATCTATTAATTTTTTTGAAGGACTGCAGTGGCTCTGAAAGAATGCTGCAGGTTAGAATTGAATGAACAAGGGGAAGGAAAGCAGAGCGAAGTTGTAGCAGACCTCATAGTGTCCCTGCTCGTGATAGAGTTTCCCCAGGTTGTACAGGCAGCTGGTAACAGAGCTCTTGTGTGCATGAGGGTCCTTCAGGTTTTCATCTGGAATCTCAGAACACTTTAGGAAGGTCCGCCGGGCTTCTTCGGTCTTTCCTTGGTTCATTAGAATAATGCCGGTATTTAAATATGCAGCTAAGGGTAAGAAGTAGAAACAGAGCTTGAGAGGATGATATGTTCTATAAATTAAAAAGGAGTTATCTTTCATTGAGTTTAGTTTCTATGGATTATTTCTGATTATAAAACGCCAAAATTTATGAAACAAATACTTATGTGATCAATAATGGTAGCAGGAACTGCAAGTCTCACTAAAAAAATACATGTACATGAAATAGGAATATTTGTACTCGAAATAGTCCCTGCCATCATACCTCCAGATATTTTTTTTTTTGGTACCGAGGATCGAACTTGGGACCTTCCTCTTATAAGGCAGGTGGCAGCACCACTGAGCTAAGTCCCTGGCCCACCTCCAGATATTTTTGAGCTTAAAATCTAGTCAAGTAAAAGTTATAGCTATCATAATATTTTTAAATAGAATTAGAGATCAAAATGAAATTGAGAGAACTATCATCATTAGAGATTTGTCCCTTGATCAGCAAGTATTTAGAAATAGGAGCACCAAGTGTTTTCTCTGTGAGGCGTAAGTCACAAAGATAATTTCCATAAGCGGAAAGAAGTATTAAAAAAATCCCAAAACTTGATTACTTACAAGCCAGGGTAGGCCTGCTCCCGATGGCCAGTTTATAATAATGGAGGGCCTCTGCAAACCTGCTGTTCTCTTGGAGAAGCAACCCTCTGCATGAGGAAAACAGAAATATGGAGACAGGACTGTATTACTATATACAAAACCACAAATTTTTATTTTATATTCCAAAAATAAAAATGGTTAGCAGAGCAATAAAAATGCTGACCTGGTACCATAAAAGTAAATTCTAAATAGAAAGAAATGAGTCCTCAGGAGAGAAAATGCAGTATAAGTATCTGTTGCATTTATGTTCCATTAGAAAGAATTAAGAGGTATTTTCAAAAGCCTTCTACGATCAGTGAACTTTCCCCTCTCTAGTTGTCTTTTACCCTCCCACTAGAATTACTAACCACCTGGATTTCTTCTAGGAGCATGCACATTTTCTCATCACTTCACAAAGGAAACCTGTCTAGGGCGGTGACTTATATATGGAAACATGAGATGCCTCCTTCACTAGCTGCTGCTTGGGAAATATTTGTCCACGACTCCCCAAAAGGCAAAAGGTAGTCTAGGTCAACAACAAAGAGAGAGCCAGAATTTAATCAGATGCTAAAGGGACAAAGAAAAGAACCAAAGGCTATGCACATTGCTATTTGGATTTGGCAAGGAAAGAAGCTTGAATTTCAGAATACTATGCAAATTGCAGTTCATTGTTCTGAAATACGTCTTTCTCTACAGACTTTAAGACTCGATGGGCCTCCTCGGGAGGCTTTACTTAAGCAGGATCCACATGCATTAATCCCAGTCATTCCAGAATCCACCTACATAACCTAAATGAAAATCAATTATAATTCTTTTCATGAAAATAAGATGTCAGGGAACAGAACTAAGGTCAAGAACCTCTCAGAGAGTGCCTTGCCCTACCCCATTTAATTGTAACCAGTATCTTGCAGGCATGCTGCACATCTATTGGGTACACTACACATCTGAGTATTGCCGTTATTATTGTAAATTGCAGATTCCACTTGGCAGCTGCTGAGGTCTTTGAATGGGTGGTGAAATGGAGGTCTGAGAAAAGAGGAGGACGTCGATAAAAACTGCATTTTGTTAAGTACTGCAATAATCAGATACAATTTGAATAAAATGGAAGTTGGTTCTCAGTGAGACAAAGGTGGAAAGTGATGACACTTTTAATAGGTGGACTGAGGGGTAGCAGTTAGGTCATGAAGGCATTGTCCTTCAGAGAAATTAATGCTGGTCTTCTGGACTGAGTTCTCGCCACAGTGAGCCATTACAAGGAGCAAAACTGGTCCCTCCTCATTCTCTGGCTTTTTGTTTCACCATAAGATCACTCCCTCACTTGTACGCCCACAATTACGACACCACATACCATTGCTCTGAGATAGCCGGAGCGACACTACCCAGATCCAGGGCCATGTTTGGATCTGAATCCTCAGAATTATGAGTTAAATAAACTTCTAATTTCTGTACATTACCCAGCCTCAAGGCTTTTGTTATAGCAACTGAAATCTTCTTCATACAATTCTTCAAAAAACCCAACTTATTATTTAATAGACACTTGAAAAGATACTTGAAGAAAATCATTTTGGAGTTAAAGAATGCTCATGTCACCAGTATATATTAACCTCATTATTTATAATATTTGTTAAAATGTCATTTGATGCCTGGTGCGCAAGCGCAAGGACCCGAGCTCAATCCCCAGTACCAAAAAAAAAAATGTCATTTGACTAGATCATAGAAATACCAAACACATTAAGATCATCTTCATATAGCAGAAATGTACCTTCTTATAAAAAACTTTGAGCAACAATTAATTTGACCATAAAATGAATATGTTGTGCTAATAAGTGTACTTTTTAGTTACTGAGAAGAGATTCTTGCAGTTTTCAGTGTTTGTAAAAAATGGTCAATCATTTTTAAAGGTGAATAAAAGTGGTAACACATTTTTTTCAAAAAAGGCTAATATTCTTTATAACTGTATCTTACTGATACAGTGCTTTTCAGTTAACTGAGTTTGTATCTAAATCTTTAATTGTCTCTCTTTCCTTTCAAATTCAGATAAAAAGATATTTTTTTCTTTGATGCAGGGCTAATGCTACCAGAGGAGAAATACTATCCAGATATTTAATCTACTTTTTCCAGTTTCCTTAAGAATAAGATTGTTCAAATAAGCCTCTATCTGTCCAATATCCTTCCTCGTTACAGGTTCCTATCTCTTAAACAACAAAAATGTTCATGCACCTCTTAACATAAACAGGAAGAAAATACTCTACAACATTTATGCATTCTGCAGCTACCTCTAACTACTGCTTATTGTTACTCTTCCCTTTAATGTCAGATTTCTTTTATGAGCAGTCTATGGTGCACACATCCTCAAATCCCCTGTCCTCCTAAATCCAATGTAGGCTCTATTCCCAGAACTCCTTCTGATATGACATATAAAGTTTCTACTAATTATCAAATGTCTCAAATGGATGTCAACTGCACACTCAACTCCACTCTTGATTTCTCCCTGGGGAAGGAAGAAGAGAGGGTCATCTTATTCATATACTCCTTTAAGGGATGTTGGTGTTTCCCAGGCTTTTCTTTTTGTCTTCTCTTAATAAATGCAGTCTCTGCATGATACCACACACACACACACACACACACACACACACACACACACACAGGCCTCCTCTACATGCTGCGCACGCTCACTCGTGAAGTAATGGTCTCTCTCCTGACAGTGAGATCAGTTTTCAACAACTGGTTGTCAATCTAGGGGCTCACTAGAATTTCAAAGTCAACACATTCAAAAATCAAAAATGATATCTTTCAATCAAAAGAAAATAAATAGATAAATCAAATAAACAAAACGGAAAAAAAATCTCCTCAGTATTAAAATTGTCTTCCACTTCAGTTGTTAAGCCAAAAACCTGATTCTCACTCTTGATTCTTCATTTATTTTCACAATTACATGTTTTACAAAGCTTCAAAAGCCCTCTGCTTCTTAGAGCTCTTCACTCCATGCTTCAAGCTTCATATTTACAGCTCTATCAGAGCCCTTTTTATCTTTTCTGTCACATGAATAGCTGCAATAGCCTTCTAATTAGTATCTACATAATTATATTTCTAAAGGGCAAATATGCTATTAGGCATTAGATGGAGTGAACAGTAAGTAGATGGGCATAGATCTCTGACAAGGGCCTACAACCTATAAACCTTGAAACTGATGTACTTAGCCTCAATGCTGATATATTATATTCTGTCACTTTCAAATTCATAAGATATACACAGAGAAGAAAATAACAAGTAGTATGAAACCACACCTAGATAATCCTGTCTTGCCTGACTTAAGTCTTTGGAGGATCCTGCTTATATACAGTAGGTAAATTTCTACGATTATATAAAATATGGATTTTTGAATTAGAGAATATCAACTGCACCATCTGAATATAGTGCTAATATAGTGAGTCCAAGTTGGATGGCTATTGTGACTAATTTCTTACGTGTAAGGATTTAACTGAACATCAACTACATATTTGCATATTGCAAATGTGAACAAGACAGAGATGCACTCAACTATGGACACACAATTTACTGAGGAAGATGAATAAACACACATATTGTGGAAAATTACTACACTAGAGGATAGTAGACCAACATGACTCCAGTCGAGGAATGGACAATGAGAGGTCCACACAGTCTGACATTTTCAGAGGCTTGGAAGAACATAGTAATATAAAGGACTGCCATCAGCTCCACATGACACAGGAAAAAAAGAGAATTTTAGAGAATTAACCAACTAATTCTAGATTCTATGATCAAGAAGAGACAAGGTGAGAATTAGAACACAGTTTCTCTGACAGTAAATCCCACGCTTGAAGAGAAATGGAAGACAAAATAATTCTAAATACATGTATACTAAGTTATGTTTCCATTTGCTCTAAAAAGCTTAAATTTTATATAACATTAACTTGCCTCGATATACTTAAAAGGAATCAACTACCATTTTGGAGTTGCAAGTTGAATTTGGGCTTCAGTTGCTGCAATTTTCACATTTACAGAACTCATGTTCTATTTTATGGAAGATATGATACAGGGGTAGAAATTCTTCATATTGCCGTTTCAATCATTTAAAATAGTATCTAAACGTATCCATCCTTACAACCCGTCAGGTAGTTTGCATGAAATAACTTATTTATTACCCAAAAATAATACTTGGAGGTAGGTTATTACTACTAGCTCCATTTTGTAAATGATGAAACTTGGGGAAGAAAATATTAAGTACAGTATATACTAGGAAGAATTAGATCAACATTACAACCCAGCAGAGTCTGGCTATAATAACTGAGGACCCGTACTTTAATCGATCATTCATACCAAAAGCTTTTCTATGGCTGTGTACATTGATTATATGGTTTGTGTGCATGCTGATCATATCAATCAAGTCTTCTGATTTGTGTGTGTTGTGTGGAAAATATATACATACATACATATAATGCATATGCTTTTGAACATATCAAGGCAGAATCTAATTAGAAATAATTGTATCCACATAATGCAAAATTGTCTTAAAATTAAGGAAACTGGCATGCTATATATTAATGTGATGTTAAAGAGACTTTGGGGTAGGAATTGAAAGAAATCTTACTGATCTCTAAATTATAAGCAGTAGGGTCACTTTAATGCATGTATGAATGTTAAGACAGAATGTAATGTGTTTAAGGAAGAAATATTTCACTCTCACATTTCTCCTCCAACGAGTCATCTTTTTGAGCAACAGTCTCTTAAATAACAGCTGATAATAACAAATAAAAACTGAGGACAGAGAAAGAACAAATAATTTTTTAGTCAAAGTAGATAAACACATCTAAACGTATGAACCACCTACCACTACTCTTCATTATAACACCTAAATTCTAGAAAATCACTTTAATTCAATAAAAATTAATAACATTTTCTCCATTAAGCCTTTTACCTTTTCATAATAATTTGGAGCATATATTCTAGAGACTACTATTGCTTACATAGAATTTTTTTTCCCTGAGAAAGTTTTGCCTACTTTTTTCTTCAGCCTTCATTAACAATCTTTTATCTAAAATGCCTT